AAAAGACAATTTTGATTACTGGATAATCCCTGTTTTCTTCCATGCAGCAGTAAGTGAGTTGACTCAAAACACTTGTTTTGGCCGCACTTGACTTCATTTAAGTTGTAGCAAAGGTTACAAGTGTAAAATTTGAAAAACTATACGTCATATATCCTATGCTTGGATGTATGAAATTAGCATTGTAGTAAACTGTAAGTTTTCCCTGTAGTTGCCATAAGATGATATTGACCTTATTTTGCTGTTCTGTTTTCGATTTGTCGTAGAATGTTAAAAACAACTATTTGAATGTCATTTATTTCACGGTTAATGCCAATTCGTATTGTAAAATGAATTGGAATTTTTTTACTTTAGTAAGTTGTTTACGGACTTAACGTAGCGTATTTGAATGATAACGCTTATTACACTGAAACACATATTAAATTAATAAAAGTTTCTAATCGATTGTCACCTACTCAACTTGACTAATCACGTTTGACATTTCAAAATACTTAAAAAATGATTTTTTACTTTTCAAACCTTGACGAAAAAATATAAATTTCATTTTTATTTATTGGCTCAATCATGTTCAGGTATGCTGACATTACTGAATTGCGTATCGTAATAATATTGGCGCCATCTATACGGTGGAGGCGATTAATACAGCCGAGAAAAGCGAAGAAAAAAGTTATATTTTTTCATAAATGCTCCAGAGATAACTACGATCTCCCAATAAATAATACCAACAAATATACTTAAATTCTCAGTAAAATGATTTATTTCGTTGGTATTTTTTACTGTTACATTTTACTGTTATATTTTAAGTAGTGATGTTCCGAATGTATGCCGATGTCACGTGCAAAAAAATGACTCCTGTCTTTTTAAAGTATATTTATAAAGTGGCCCAGTCTAGACTACATTTTATTTCATTAGCAAAAACGCACAGGTCAAAATGGCAAGTCTTCTAACGTGAATTAATTGATTTGTAATTAGGTCATTAATTGTATTCTTATTATATTTTATGACTATTTTTATTTTGTGCAGTTCTTTAACCAACTAACAGACTAATTTCGCGCAATTTTTAAGGGACATACCTATCATATTTTTTCGCAATCTGGCTATTATCCAATACGTTTCATATCTATGTGAAGAGTTCAGACTCTCGTACAAGACAAAGACGACATGATTGATGTGTGTCTGCTTCAAACAGACGCACACAACCAGTTACGTTTTATTTTACGCATTTCCTTTGATCCACTAGTCTAGACAATAGGGAAATTTGAGTCAATTTTAAGTTAGCAAATCTGATTCTGCAAAATCCATCCAACCTGGCGAATGGAAGTTTCCAGTTTCATTCAAAGTAGTACTTATATTTTTGAGTCCGGTACTGGTGTTTCGACTATCTTTCGACTGTGTGCAATCAACGATGATTCAGAATCAGTTTATTGACAGACCTGCGACAGTCACGCAGCTTAGACCCACGGACTAACTATTTGACCATAGACAAATATTCCGACTAATGATTTCTTCATAAATCGCCTATAGTTCGATTTATCTAATATTGATAATAAGCTGTAACAAATTGTAGGAGATGTCGTGATAATATAACGTATATGTTTATTAATTTATATGAAATTTAAGAGAACAAGAAACAATACTACACATAATAGATATGTTGCCAACGTTCTAATTATATTTTATAACCTGACAACAATAGAACCTTTCTTCATTGTTGTTTCTTGCTTTCTTGCATTTTCAATCTAGACAGACACGATTTCGTGACTTCCAAATTATATTTTGTCAAAAAATGACGTCATCAATTTGAACGTGTCATCTTCAAACTTGTCAACAATTTTGGGCTTTCGTTTCTTTTGGACTACTCGGACAAGTTTGTTTTTCTAAACTTAACAATTACACATTCTAAATGACCGTTATTATGATCTTCCTCGCCTCGCAATATTAAGAGCCTCTACTTTTTAACTTGCTTCAATCTATTGTAAATTTACGTACATCATTAAGATTTTTGCTTCTTTTTTTGAATTTATTTTATTTATTATTAATGTTTCATATATCAGCAATTGGTCCATGCCCCGCACCTCTCACGTCTAGAAACGAGTAATATAATGTCGGGTTTTCTGGTGCCATGACCTTATTCATGACAACATAATGCATTTATGCAACAATGGTGAGAATATTATGACGTCACAATGAATTTCATGAAGCGCTTGTGCCATCATTGTTAAAGAGGACCTTCATAATTGGCATAGCCTAAGGGCCTATCGTCGTGCATGTCCGACCTGCATGTTTTCATGTTAAATTTGTTTATTTTCTTTCACCAGATGGTATTTGAACAATACCAAATTCTTCATTTTAGTCACCACAAAAAATAAATTTGTTTACAAAATTTAATTATTGAGATAGCCAAGATAAATTCATTATTAATCTGTCGCAAATATAATATATAAATATATATGTTTATATAAGTTTTGTTCTAAATAAATAGATATTCGTTGTTTCGGTGCGGCAACCGGAACTTGGTGGTTCGCATATTATATTACAAAATTAAATCTACGTCATATCATATGAAACTGTATGAGTGTCAACATGTTTCAAATTAATTATGTTCAGAATTTAAACAATACTTAAAAATTAAGGCGCTATTACCATTGAAAACGAAACTTGGTTTGAAAGCTAATGCAGGCAAGTCTTTGTATAAAACACTGCACTCTATTGGCAGTACACATTTCGTGGGACTGACCTAAAAATTAAACACAATATCCCAAGCGATGCGTTGAAAGTCATGCAAATGGCGATAAGTATATATATTTATCCCTATTATTCATGTATTTATAGCGACACAAATTTCTCGTTGTTCATGACAGCGGGATATTTTTTCTAGAGCAAGCGTACAAAAATATCCTTTAGAAACTTTTATAAAAACAGCATTTATAGCGAGTGTGTGGCCATATTGAAACCGCAGTGCCAGGCAGAGAAGATAGTGACGCATTCTGGCGCCTTCTCTCGTTCGGGAGTGGCCAAAATTGACATTTTCTAAATTAAACTTTTTTCTGGCAGAAATAACCACGTAATTATCTCACGAGCTTATTGCTTATGGCTGGACATTTAGCAACGGTTATTTCTCCCTGCAGTCACGTATTGACGCGATTGTAGCAGTATTTAATATAACATTTCATAAATGACATATTAACTGCAATGACAGAATTATACCACTGAAATTGAAAATTATCATGATTACTCCACATGTGATAAGTTCTTTAAAAGCTTCTGTATATATATTTCATGCATGGTGAATTAGAAACAAAAGCTGAAGACTTAATTGTAATGTAAACCGACCGTCCAGGTAGTATGACTGTTTTGAATTCGATTTAGGCTACTGGCGTTCTCTGAAGACAAATTTGCATCTTAATACTTTTGTAAATTACATTTAACAATTGCAATAAGACCCAAACCTCATTCTATGTTATAGAATACATATGGACGTCATTTGAATAGTCGGAACCGGAAGTACGCAAACAGGTCATTGGCCGCTTCCGGGAATATTCATGAAGGCTAATTAGAAGTATTTATTCGTATGTTTTAATGTATTATCCGAATATGAAAATTTAAAATGAATTTAGCACGCGATGTTAGATTCTATTAAAGCTTATTTCATTAAAATGCAACTATAATGTTATAATTTTATTTATAATCAACATTTTACAAGAATATTCGAACAATCGACATATATTTTTTTGACCTTTTCAAAACAAAAATCACAATCTAACTCAAAATAAAATTTGTGATGTCCATTATTGAATGAAATGCAGCAAATTACCTAATATGGTAGATGTCAAGGATTATTTTTGAGTTTATGTCACTTCAGTGATCATTAATGAGAAAATCTTAAATCTCAAACAAAGCGTATTTCGGCATTTTCATCGTATTGTGAGCCATGGATGATGCAAGCTTTAGTGTCGAATAATTTGTAGTGCGAAAAAGACAATTTTAACATATAACTGTTATTTTTGACATGCTAGTAACTAGACTGTACTTCATCTCACTAAATAAAATCATATACTACGAATCAGGTGTATCTCATTTATTTTTGGCATTAAAATAATAAATAAATTTGAAGATGCTTTCGTTACAGTTGTAAAATATAGAAATATTGTTGACAAACAATTATTAAAGTAAACAAACACAAACAAAAACATATTCCCAGCAAACAAAAGTCATTGTATCCATCGCTAAATATTGAGATCAGAATTGTGTGAAAATAATTTTTTGGTTTGTATTTTTATTTCTTGTTTCAAATAGAGAACAAACTTGATTTTTGTTAAATTTAATCAATTTGACGACAATACGAATAATTTAATGTGATCTCAATATTATCATATTGAATAAATTTTTACTGAGCTCAATAAATCGTTAGCGTCATTAGAATTCGGGACAGTCTTCTCGGACTCGGAGCATATTGTTTATTACTCATGGTCTGTTATTCAGTTAATTCCTCTTTGAAATGACCTTTTTTTTTTTTAATGCGATAGATGCTAATGATTATTGTTACGAAAACTAATTCTGGAAATCTGTTTAATGGATGTACCAAATCAATGCAGTGTTTTCAGGAATTGTATCTTAGTCTGATAAAATTCCAATGCCAATATTGTCTACATAATTCTCAAATAAACTTCCATTTTTATACTGCAATAGACCATTCGTAGCAGAAGAAAAAACAAAACAAAATAAACACAAATAATGCATGAAATTCAGAAAATTTAATAGATTGGATAATCTCGATAATGACTTGAATTTTGTAAGTTAACGATAGGCTGAATGTTCAAGTATTTGTGACGAAGCGAAATCTCTCAAAGGGAACAAAGATACCACTGAATAATCAATGGAAGGAGCCCCGTTATGTTAGCTAGGATGAAGGCAATAGTTTAGGCTGTTCTAGAAAAAACTTGTTGTCCTGAGGAAACCCTACTTCGTGATCAAGGACACATACCTATCAAAAACAAACAGTGTGCCATCATTTGTTGAGAATTTTATTTCGCCTTATTTGAGCTAATTGATTTCGTTGAGTACTTTTGACAGTGAAACAAAAATCACTCTTGAGCCAAACTTTGAGTTTTACCCAAAATTTTGCAAAAAGAGCGACGGAAAAAATAAGCAATTGATATTTAGAAGCAGTGGAATATAATAAAAATGATAGTATATAGCAAAGCATGTAACAGCGGCTAATATTTCCCGCCATTTACCTGGTCATATCATTACATCAGATCATACACACTTTTTACCATTGGTTTCAAATTTTTGTTGCTATGGTAGGTCGTACCTAGATGATCATAGATGATAATTTTACGACAAGTGGCGATCGTTTCAATCAACACTTTTGTAGATCTTATTTAGGCTATGTCCGAAGGCAGACAAATTTAAGCGTTTTTTTTATAGTTTTGAATTTGACCTATTTGAATTATCTCAAACCAATTTGATAGATTGGTTATCGATGAAAATGATGGTCTCTATCAGTGTCCTATACTAGATTGCACAATTTAGTGATTTGTCATCAAATGCTTGTCATTTTCTTTCGCTTTATCACAGTGATTAGTTATTTTTGATTATTCATACCCTTTCTTAAAAGCTAATTTTGTTTTTTCTGCAGTTTCTATTATAATATTCCCTAGGACATGATACGTTATCTTTGAACAAGTTTGGATGAGCGTCTATAGATATAATCCATGCGCGTGTATTTCCACCCGATTCCAGTCAAATCATTGTGTAAACAGCTTCAGGCGCTTGTCTTTAAGTATTCTTTAAGTCATGTACAGCCGTGCTTTGCACGAACGTTAGGTAGGACATTTTTGAGGTTCTCCGCAAGTTTCTTGGAAGTATATCTCCGACATTGTGCCTCACACAATTTTTCATTTTACAGTTTTTCTGAAAATAGCGTCCGAACTTCCAGCTTTCAATCCACCTTTGTTTGATTTTGAAACAAAAAGGCGCTGATATATCGCTATTTGGGGTCTTTCCTCATTTTCTTGAGGTAGATATGGCGTGTAACATGACGCCACCATTCATCCTCGCAATATTTTTCTAAGAGGCATTGGACATCTTCGTCTTGGCTTATCTCTCAAAACGGCCCTCGGTTTACACGTTTCATCGAAAGTAACTTTACAGTATGGGTGTGCATCACCGTAAGATTTCGTTCTGTGGCATGAATAAATATTAACTTGGTAAGCTAAATTGGTCTATTCGTTGGATTGGTTCAATTTATTTTAAAAAGCTAATCTAAAAATAGAATGAAAATCTCAGCCAAATAATCTCTCAAACTATTTTTTGGACAACAAATAGGCAATATCGAAATGTGATGTTAGAGTTCTCAAATTGTTTGTTTACCAATGATTGTTTCTTCTGTTTTCAGTGATATTAAAAACAATCAAATAAATTAAATCCTCAGTCAGCAGCTGAAAAAACTTACATAACGACAAAGTATTTTAACTACCATTTTCAATTAATCTAATTTATCGACTAAATCATCCCTAAATAGTTTTAGAACTTGTCACACAACTCTTTCAAATTACAGAAATATGGAAGCGAATTGAACGTATGCTATGTTGGACTCTGAGACAAAAATAATAAATAAACGGAAAAACTTACTTTGTACAGCAATAGGATTCCCACGTAACAAAGACATAGTTGATAAAATGAAATTGCGGCATATGTGTTTTTATGTTAAACTTGGGAATAGTTTCATGTTCACATTTAACTAGCACTGCTTCATCTTCTGTCAGTTCAATTTCTCTGTCTTCTGCAAAGTTTGCAAGCATTCGACGTTTTGAATATATAGCTTTCGTTATGGTGCTTTTGAGGGGAACGATGGTAACAACCATACAAGACGCCTGAAAATAATATAACGGATAAATTTGAAGCATTCGAAAATACTGGAATAAGAGAGGCAGAGATAATTTGTGTTAACTTACCACAAACTGTTTTGTTTTTTGACAAGTGCATTGTGCACACGATCCCCTGATCTGGTTGACATCAGCAAAGACATCATTTTCTTTATATTCTACTCCAGTATTTCGGCTGCGACAGCCAGACATTTTGTAACAGTCTGCCGACACAAAGTCAACTGCCTCAAACAGAGTGAGGACTAGTACGATGTAGATTGTGTGGGCCTAAAAAGATTTAATACAAGATGAACTTCAACTACCTTGTGTTATGCCATATATAAAATGATGAAACGCATATACATACCTTCATTTTTTTCTGTTTATCAATATTTTATTTATATTAAATAAAAATTAAATAATCAATATTTTATTTATATTAAATAAAATATATTTTTATTTAGATGCTGTAAAAATATAATCAATAAATATGAAGAATAAATAAAAATTGACTTTTTAAATGCCTAATATGTATATATAAAAAAAATATATATTCTTCAAACTAGTTTGTACGGCTAAAGTAAATACTTCTGAAAGAGAAAAATCCGTGTGACCGTGTGACCGGAATTTCAGTTTCCTGTCTTTATATATACACGCAAATTATTGCAAACCGAAGGCTCGTGACGTCGAAGTAGATCAATATCATTCAACCTTGGTGATTAGTGCACGACATTCATATCTGAGAAAGTCTTCATGATAATAGCCCTCAGTCAAGTTTGAAATAAAGATAATCCAATTCTTAATTCGACATGTCTAAGCTTAGTTAAAGTTAACAAATTCTTGGATGTCATCCAAATAGTAAGCTCGCTAATTTTAATGTAAACTATCAAACACATAACTTCTTATTCTTGTCGCAAAATCGTCTTCGCACGCGAAGGTTAGAGTTCGTACACTATATTGTAAACAATATTGAAGTTCCATGACACAAAATTACTATTTATTATCTTCTGGGGGCGATTTTTAATTTTGAGGTTTGGGATTTTAAGGTGTACTATTATTTTTATTACTATTTTTTTTTGTAATTTGATATGACCCTCCTCAAAAAGAAAACAAAAAGCATAAATGTCTATGCTTTTGTTTGATCAAACCATAAAATACCAATTTTATTGATTTTATAAGATACAATATCAAACGACAGTGAAATAGGAAAAATAAACATGCAACCTCGACTTTTTAATTAATATAAATTGGGGAAATAATCTTCAAATCCTAAATTCTATTTTTTAAGATAAGATAGACGGCAAAAAACTAATTCAATGTTTTATGCGCAAAACAGTCGCTTCAACTGCCATGCTTACGCTTTATATAATTTCTATATCTTGTGTCAGTAATATTATTAAATTTAACTCATATTGTTTCTTGATATTACATTTGCTATATTTGGTCACGAAAAAAATGCCTTTAGGCGTTACTTTTGCGAAAAAAGCAATGGCATCACAAAAATATTTATATGTTATGTGAACGTAGGCAACAGTTTATCTTAAACAAATTATTTGAGATTAATTTCAACGTGGGCAAACGCTTGAATCTTAGCTATCGTGGTCCATTGTTGAAAAAAGTCTAAAATAAGTTGTCGGTATAATTCTAGTTTGACCATAATTGAAACATTGATCGCAGGTAGGCGTCCACATACCGCGGTTATGATTTTAATCTATCACCTAAAATTAGATAGCCCACGAGGTGGTCGTTCGGGTACATTTGCGAGTTTCGTCGACTCAAAAAAATAAATTTTTTATTTTATTCCAAAGTTGGAAAAGACAAAAATTCCAAAGTGGTTTTAAACTGGCGGCGTACTACAATATTTTTCTTTTGCGATTTTATACTAGCTGGCATGATTTTTGTTTAAAAAAAACGCCTCGATTAATGTTTTTGTCAATTGAGTAATCAAATAGAAAGATGAAATATGAAAATGTCCTATGAAGAATATGAAGAACAAGATAATCAAATCGCTGGAGAGAACGCAAATAAAATACAGCAATTAAAACGTTTGACTTACCGAATATAACGTTACAGTTGTACAAACTAGTAGGCCGTGCTGGAGATTCCTAAAGATGAAATTCACAGATGCATAGAAGCTAAGGCACACGCAATGTTGAATGCACCATACAATTCTGGTGTAATTTACTGACATGATTCGAAAGTATTCTGAGTTAGCTACATACGCCACCGGCAGTTCCTGTTGACATACGGCCAGGTGCACTGCATTATTATTTAGTGTTGGCAGTCATACACGTGAGTAATGATTGTGCACGGTTGAAGACATCGCCCCATGAAGCATAATTACCTCAGAACGACTCATTATTTTTTTGGGGTGCTCCTAAAGTATGCTCACCAAGATGTCGCATAACCTTAACCCTAACCTGGTACACAACCTGAGTTCAGGTTGTGCGCCATCTTGGTGCGCATACTTCAGGAGGTCCTTTTTTCGTTTGTAAAAAGCAAAAATGAAGAAATCACAGACCACAAAATATATATATCAGACTGCTACAAGACGTTACAAGATGGAGTATACATTTTTCAAAGTTTGCACTCACTATGCGATTGTTATGGGAGGTTCCCTGCATTCACTTCAAACGAGGCTTTACACAAAAAACGGATAGTCTGCAATTTTACTTCACTCTGGTTACGATGATTAGCATGAGGTGTGAACCAAATGATTTTAACTTCATTTAACTAACAGCATTAGAATTTGTGATGCCATTAAGAAGGATAGTGGCAGAAGAAAATACATGTAACACTGTTACCCCCGTTGCCAATTTATCTGCATCGTTTAACCTAGTCGATTTTTAAAGGTTTCTGCTCACTTAATTTGTTGCGCCAGCAAGGGATACATGTTTATTATGTCAGCATAACATACATTCAACTAAAACGCAGACTGAGAAAAAAGCATAACATATCCGAGAATGGCACGGCTATCACCATTTATAAAATATGCTCAGGATTAACAATTATTTTAACCAAACGACAAATTTTCCACTTGAAATGTAGACATTGTCGTGGTTAGCATTAGCACAGTGGAAGGTTTGAAACAATGCATAAAAGATACGCGGCTGCTTATTATCAAATAATGTGATATCATTATATAGTTTGGTGTTAACTCAATTAACATAGCTAGAATGTTTTCTTTCAATTGCCAATCTTTTTCGTTAATTTTCGTGATAAATCTTTGATGTGTTATATCATATTGGCATTCTATAAATGATAATACAAAAAACTAGTGTGGTTTGGAACCAATTTAATTCTCCATGCATGACACAGAACTTACTATTTAATGTTTTACATACTTGGCAAGATGGTACCTTTGCGAGCAATATTGTATTCGTGAATCGTGACGTGATAAATCCAAAATATTCATGCCAACACTTTAAAGTAATTATGGCTAATTGTTCTTGGAGTACCAAGATTTATTATTTTTCTGTCATAGCCTATACTACTACACTACATTATGTTTGGTTACCTACAACAAAACATTCAGAGTACTATTGTTACACAATAAATACTGGCGTATTGTTTATTCACAACTTTAATATGGAAATGCCTAATTTACAGATTGAATTAATTTTCTACCTCAACAGCTGCAATGAGGAGTCTTATTAACAATAATATTGAAATATTAGAAGAACAAATTTACTTGACTAAGTGTACGTTTCTTTTAACGTCTTGTACGTTTTCGTAGTGATTGTATTTTTATCCAAACGTCGATTATTCTATCAAAATGAATAAGTAACGAATTTCCGCGATCGCATCAGTAACATGGCAATATTTTCATATATAGCCTCTTTCATTCCACCATGCGGTTATGAATTCGAGATATCGAAATGGGTCGCAAATTTCTTATTGGATAATTTATTTATAAAACTTGAAGCAATAGATCAGGGATGTCTACAGATATGAAATCAATGGAGCGGTATTTTTGATATAATAATGGAGATCTGTTGATTACTCATTCATTCGTAAGGATGAAAGTAAATTCATTGTGAAGCTTGACTAAACTATAGAATCATATTTCTGACCTTAGACCACTAGCATTCTTTGCTTTATCTATTTTATCCTTTGCTTTTCAAACTTATTTCATAAATTCCAAGTCTTAGGCACCGCGCCGCCAATGAAATGAACAACAAACGACATATGTTACGTTTGCATATATTATAAAATTACAAAATTTTATCCATATTTAAAATTTGTTTTCTGATTTGTGTATAAAATATCTGTATAGTAATATTTGTCTAATATGTAAATATATATATATCATATAACCGGTATAGGCTATGATTGCCAGCTGACGTATCAATAAAGTAACGTATACATCATCTCCTTGGCCACATGCACAAATTATTTCCCGTAGCAGGTTGCGGGTTTGGTAATTTTCCTTCCGTTTAATTTCTGTACTGGACGGAAATTACGACGCAGTGGACTTGTTCCTTCTTTGTCTCCGTAAAACATGGTTGTCAGAAGGGTAGCCTGGATTGAAAAAAAAATTGTTTGGAACGAATTATAATATGTAATAGATGTAAAAATACGGCTTCGCGTTCATTTTATTTCTGCGGCTCTTGCTTGTATCTGAATATAATTTAAATAATGAATTCTCTCAATTTATATTTTTCTTATTTTAGATTGCATTTCAGTTTGTAGCACGACTAATAAAAAAATTCAAGCATCTATTCATTTCTAATAAGTGAAAGTTTTAAATTTAGTTTTATTCATGTTTCACTAATTAGTTGCCAACCTGTCTCATATCAATTTGAATGGGTTCCTTGAAAACCGTCCAAGTCACAGATTCATAGCAGGGAGGTGTTGTCAGGGATCCAGAATAACGGTAGTAGGAATCGAGATTTGCCGGAATCAGAGTTTCTAGAGAGAATGTTGGCACGATTTGCATTTTACCACCTGCTGTTCTGGCACCTCTCAAAGAATGATAAATCAGATTTCCAAAATACAGATTTTCTTGAGGATATTTGGTCTGAAAAAATTGCAAAAATCGTTGAATAAAATTTAATATTGAAACAAATTATCAATATCATTATCTTAAGCACACCTTATTTAAAATTCTAAGTATCAATATTTTTTGGTGATAAGTTATTTTTTGTCTACAGTTTTTTCCTGTAATTTAGTACTTGATTTAGTATTATCAGGAGCTGAAACGAATTATTTTTCAAGAATTAAGGTATATTATTATGATTTGACACAATGAATCGTTTTTCATTATCCGGATAGTAGTTTATCTGTAGAAAATAAGTCTGTTACGCAGTATTTAAGATGGTAATTCAACCACTAGTAAGTATGAAGCTATTATGTTTAAAAATTAAAATAATTCATTTTTTTTTATCTTCAATTTCAACGTAATATGGCAAAGTGCACTCACTATACTTACTAAACTAGTACTACATGTATAGACCGTTGTGAATATGCACTCTTTCTCTATTTGCAGGAACGATGTATTGTGAATTAGTTCCTTTTAATATAATACCTCCTCATTCAAAGCGTAATTTTTGGACCGGTTTAGTGGACATAACGATCGTTTCAATATTATGTTGTTATTGTTATTTTTCTCCGTCATTATTATTAAAAAATCGCTTTTCCATTCGAATACTGGACCAATTTTCAGTGGTCAAAGATTGATTTTTTTGCCAGAAGGCTATTACTTTTACTCATTTCAAAAATTTCGGTGGACTTCAAGAGATTCGTTTTTTATGTGTCAGAATGAAAAATAGCGACACCTTGTGACGTGTCCATACGCCATTTTGTGTCCAACTGTACTGCTTCGCTTGGTGTGAATATATTTGTAGACTGTGATCTGACGGTACGGTAAACCGTACTGTACTGCGAACAAACGTGTCCATATTTTGGGCGTAGCTCTCTTGTTTACTATTGCATTGTACAAAATTTGAGAATGAATTTCGGGTTAGAAAAGCAAATACTTACATCAATGAACCAACCAAATACAGCGAGTCCGTCAGGTTTGTCAGCTGCTTCAGCGACGGATCCATATTTCTTGTTGTAATGAACAGCGTGTAATTCACCGAAGAATTGTTTGCCGTCAAGTAGATGTTCTGAGCCACCACCATCGGCAGTATTAGCCCAATGTAAATGATATTGTCCAAGAACGGCGGTAAATGGAAGCACGTTGGGATCATTAATCTCGTATGTATCTACGAAGTCTCCGATGACAACTGTAAAGTAACATAAAATTTATACTTTCGAGATTAAAAATTTTAAATATTTTGATGTATTGGTGTCTATGAATATTGAATAAAATTACTGTCATGGTTTCATCCACAGTCGCTAATGAAGTGGTAGTCAAGAAATTTCAAAAGTAAACCAAATAATCGAGTACGATTGAAGTTAATTATATTATGAAAATGATAAACTTCTGATTTAAAATTTAATTGGAATGTGACTAATAAAAAATTGTAATTTTGATCAATTTCTGTCCACTTATTAAAACGCACAGCCTCAACGGCCTTACAGAGTGATGAGTTGCCCACATCGTGTAAAAATATTGCTCGTTTTCCCGAATGTGCCACCAATAACCAGCGGTCGATGATATCAAAAAAGAGAAACAAATGAACCGATTTATGTTCACCGATTTATTTACGAGAAAGAAATTTATGAAAATCTTTGTATATTTGTTTATAAAGACACGAAAATAGTGATAATGTAGTTTTAAGATGATATTTTGACTTGGTACTCGAATATTTGCAGTCATCACAAATTCATTTAAATCTATATGGCTACGCCACAGTTGATAGTTAATTATTCTTCATAGGTCGGAGTATCTACTAACTTACGTGAATGTCCATTATTTGCAATAGTCATTGATTTTGGACGTTTTTCAAAAAAAGAACGACGAACAACTCCTAGAGATTGATCAGTTTTTGCTCTATACGTAGATACATCTATAGGCGACTGTTTTTCACCGTTACATTGGGCAAAGTCAATACCCCAAGTCTCATCTGTAAAAAAAAATGATTTCCTACATGAATGTTAGCCTTTAATATTAAAATCTTTTAACAGTTTAGAGATATATAATTATATTATTTTCATATTTACAATACGAAGAAAAAGTAAATTTAATTATCAATTATCACAATTACACGTACCAGTATTCTCATAATCCCATTTACTTGCATCAGCACTGAAGTCTAAAATACAGAAGTTAATGGTTAATGATAAAACAGGCAAGGTATTTCGGCAACAAATTTGATTGCTCTTGATTATTATTTTCAACTACCGGTACTTGATATTACTGGCGCTACATAGGAACTGAATAAAGAAAATGAGTATCTGAAATTTAGATGCACAAAAGCAAAACCAGTCTGTCCGAAAATAATGAGGTGTTTTCTCATCTAGACCTACATGTTTGTTAGTTTAGGTAAAAAGAAAATGCTCGTGCTAAGCAAAACAGTATGTCTGATTATTACATGAAACACTAATATACGCATAATAAATATATATTAACCAATAAGTCAGTCAACACTTACCGAGCAGGCAGATTGCAGTAACCAATAATAGCTTGATAAACATTTTATCTATATCTATAAATATTGTAATATAAAGACATGCTGATTAACAATAATCCCAGCCATAGTACACTGCACAGTGGTCTATATCGCATGCATTTTAAATAATATAATATTAGAGAGATCAGTTTACCAGTTATATATATATATATATATTGTATATTAACAATTCTATTGAAAAATTCTACATTTAAAATCTGACTAAACTAAATTACCTAAGACCATGTTAAACATTATTTACCATTAAATTTATAAATGTTTCATCAATAAGTTTCCAAAATAAAAAATCTAACTGAATTTTATTTTAGTCCGTATTTCAATTTTGAACTTACAAATAACGCTATCTCACAATGAAGAATATACGTCTTGAAATAAGGACTCGCAGTTACATCATGCACTTGAACAACTTTAGTATTATTCCTCAGAACGTGCTCACTAGTCGATATGTTCGTATGGAATTTATAGAACTTTACGTGCGTTCAACTAAACTTTTCGCTTTCTTATTCCAAATTTATACGAAGTTTAATTGATATCCTGATATCTTTCCATCATTATATTCATTGAATTCACTTGACTTAGTATAACCAGATGTAAAATCATTAGGTTCTTCGGTTGTTCATCAAAAGTGCAGTATGTCAGATCTTGAAGCAAAAGGAAAACTTACTTAGTATATGTTATTGAGTTCAAAAACACAAACATTGCGATAAATCGACGCTTCAGAGAGGAAAGTAGACCAAAAAGATAAAAACGAAATAACAGTCTCAATTGCAACTAGATACATCTAACTAACTGGGTTAACACAGTATTCAATATTAATTCGAACGTAAGTTCTGAAGGTCGTTCACCCATCATACTAATTTGCCGTTTACCCATATCGCTTCTTATTACCGCTTACCTTGTTACACCGATTTCCACGACCATATTTATATCTCTGAACTGTTACCCCAAAGGCATGTCACAATTATACAACGACCTTGTTGATTTATAATTGCCATTACAATAAACTTTCTTTAGAAATCAGGTATCTTTTTTCAAAACTGCGTGTCAGTGCAGGCAATAAAACTGACATTTTCATTTTTCAACGACCGAGATGATTGACATTTATTAGCAGCGTTGTTCTTTAAGTTGAAAACCTGATTTTGTGATAGGCTACTTCCATGGCATTAAGGACAAATGATTAGCAGGTAAAATCAGACTATCCTTAGTCCTTCAAAAGGCTCACAAGTCTATGCAGTTGCATTAATTTAAACTTCCCTTTTGGGGAAGCATACTTTTGATGTTGATTTGCTGAAATATCAGCCATTTTTAAAGAAAATGCTACATTTGAATACATTTTACTACATCAAAGCTCAGGTGGACCGTTTATGACAACTCAATATTATAATGATTCGTATTTATATAAATCAAATCCTCACTGAAATATATTTAAAGATTCAACATAAGTATTCAATTTGCGGAATACACCTAAAGGCACGAACGAAGAAAATCCTGTAGAAACATATGAGAACCCAAGATCTCTTTGAGCGTTTGGTCAAAATGTGTCTCCACCCACTCGGGTGGTGGCACTCTGCGTAAAGTTCGCGTGATGATGGAAGCCAACACCAAGCATGGATGATTACATTCGTTGCGAGGTTGCATTCGTTTCTAAATCTTCCACAAAATTTGAAAAATTTATGGCAAAAGCTCAAAGTATGACAGAGACGTGGAACGAGGACGTGGCGATTCGTGTCGATGCTAGGGATCCTGATCCTGTATAGATCACGAAACGCGAGGTACACTTTTTCGCAGGTTCAAAATGAGATGCTGACAATGGCTGTGAATATTGTCGTTAAAGGCCGAAGCCAACAGAGGGTACATTCCCATTTTTGCTGATGAGTATGTGGATGTATCTGGAAAGCATCAACTCAGTATCACATAAAGATATCTTCAAGATGATCATTTGATGTAAAATTTTGTCGAGTTTGTTGAGTTAAACTAGTTGTTGAGAAAGCTATATATATCTGAGGCAATTCTGACGCAACTGGGCGTCCTTGGGTTCTGTTTGTTTTTAAACAAGACCTTGTTTAAAATCAAATTTTTTCTGTATCTTTTGTATTTTTTATTGAAATACTATTTGCATCTCCGTCAAACTACGCCAAAATGCTGCTTTTTTGGCAGCTGCACATGTTGTCGTAATAATAATTTTGAAAATGTAAGAAAAAATTCTTGCTTTGACTTTGACCGCGCAACCAGCACCAAAGTCATAATATTGTAACAGGAATGCTCAACCAAGATACCAGAGAGACAGTCTGAGTACAAAAGGCAAGAAAAATCACGAAACATAGCTCGCGGGACTACTACAATCCAAAAGCAAATTGAATCAGGGGCCCGCTCACCGCCTAAATTTGGCAAAACGAGTGCGTTAATACAATAATGGAGATTGTACTTAGATCGGCGACAACCTACGTATGTTTGAATCAGGGCAAGATTTAGACGATGAAAAAAACCTTAGGCCTATTTCCTAGGCTATTCTGGAACATGCCTTTACAATTTAGAAACGAATTAAATGAATAATGGCTGAAATTGATTGTCAAGGCCTGCGAAGTTTGAGGCCCCTAGACTGTAGCCAACCTTGCCTAACGGTATATACGACCCTGGTTCGAATCACTTGACTGATGTGAAAATTTGCAAGAGGATAACTGGACTCGCCTGCCTTGGCAGGCTGGTCCACGCAATGGCCTATTTGGCTGCGTCTTCCTCCGCCAACCAGGTTTGCGGACGCATTGCGCTACAGCTTGAGAAGTCGTGTATTAGCAAGTCATCGATATTTGTGGCGTTTCGAAGAACTTATTGCAAATAAAAAGTAATTGGCAAGTTTTATATCATTTTTCTTATTTTAGTTTCAACCAATTTGATACAAAAAATCAAATAATACAGCCATTTTGAACAAAACAGGCAAAAAAAACTCGATTTAAAACAGTTGTTTTAAAACAATTCTTTCTGAACAAATCCCTACTTGGGCTGTATTTCGAAAAAACAGTCGGTCAAAGCTATTACGGTGACTCCAGAATGGCTGACCATAACTCCGACCGCCGAGGAAGAAATAGCGCCAATAATCAAAAGCCTTGTTTGTTCATTGCGTTTCTCATTGCTTCAATATAGTTATCAATGAACAATCACGCGTTCCTGTAACACGATATGCTTGTGATATCACTCGAGAAACTGGATGCAGCAGACAGTACAGTATCCGAAAATCCAGTGACTTCTCCAAACCTTGAGTCTTCACCGCCGAACTCTCCCAGCGGTCAGACATCGGAAACTGACAAACTACCGAATCCCGACACAGATATCAAAGTCAACTACAAACATTGAACGAAGATTGCCACTTTGGCAGAGAAAGAGACCAGATAGATTTCAATTTTGAGTTGTTTTTAATGTAAAACTCTGGTTACTACATCATTTCTTTATGATTGTCAGCGTTAAATCTTGTTACTAACGATTCTTATTTTTATGAGGGAGGTAATGTGGTGTATTTATTACGTAATAAATTGCATGACTACTCATACGATTTACTTAACACGTTTTGTCCTTGACCGGAGTTTCCGACCAGTCGATTGTTTGAGTTGGTCAATAAAAGAAGTCGCTACAACGTCTATTGAATTCTTCTAGGAGAGCCAGATTCTTCAAGTCAGATTTAATAATCTGGTCGATATGCCTCTTCCACCTAACATTAGGAGCCACCCTTGCCAGATTAGTCAGCGGCCATTTATTTCTGTTATTTCACTACGTTTCAATTTCGAGATTCCACGTTAATTTCTAACGAGGACTGTTTCACCAACGCTAAATGATCGTAGGGCTTTGTTACCCTTATTACGCACCCCGTATTTTATGTTTTTTTTCGAGGTCTTAATGTAAAATTTGTAGTCTAGATGTTAGATATGTAATTTTGATATATTTTTCAACGTCCCTTATATTATTCAGTGGGATATGAATAAAGCGATGTGTATAATACTGTAATACAGTAATATGTAAATAAATATTATTTCATTACTTAGAAGTAAGTTAAATATATTGATGCTGTGATGTAAAATTGATAAAACTCATTAATATTGTATTTACCTACCGATACGGTACCATATGTAATAAAATTATTCGAATAACGAATTAAACATGTTAAGAACATGTGACATTTTAATTAAATAGAAAGGACGACGTTGGTCCGACGAGTCAGTGCTCAGTATTGTATTGTTGCCAAGTAGTGAGAATAATTTGAGTAACTAGTTCAAGTTGCTTACCCCAGGATTTTGAAGTTATTTAATATGACAACCAATGGATTAAAACTTCAAATGGAATACATGTTCAATGTATAAATTACACATGGAATTGGTGAATGTTTTATGTGTCAAATTAATATATATTATTAATATGATTAAAATGTGTGGGTAATTAATTTATTAAAATGATTTAGTATTGGAAAAAAAGTGCTATTGAATTGGTCCTTTTTTAGTTTTTGGTGCTATGAACTATGCAAAAAAAAGCTGAGAAACAGCATCAAGACAGATTTACTGAACGGCAATACCTGATTACTGGGTACCCGTATTAAAGTTGGCCTGATTCGAAAATAACAATGCTACACTTCTTATAAGTTGCTGATTCGGTTGTCAAGAGGATAGGTACAACAAAAACCTTTAAAAATCCCTACGAACCAACAACATCAACAGACAGACAGATGTTAGCTTCTCCGATATCTAATATTATGTAATATAATAAACTTTGTCTGCTCTTGTTTCATTGATTTTCGTCAAATTTAATGACTTGAAATCTAAATGTATTCTCAAGATGTTTTATTTTTTAATCTAGATGCTTTTAGTCAGGTAAATCTAGATCAGGGGTGGGCAACCCCTGGCACGCGTGGCAAAGTTGGCACGCAAGCCCATTTATTTGGCACGCGAGCGAGGCCTCAGAAACGAGACCGTCCTATTTCAGATAAAAAGTTTCGAGACTGAATTATCTGATAAAACTCGGTGTTCGTTTATTCATTATCGTTTGTTAATAATCTGTTATTTACATAAACTCTTTTTGTCTTTTCATGAC